TACCCTCAATACCCAATAGATTTAACTCGAAAAATAACCCGGAAACACGAATCAAATCAACACCGGGCATTCAACAATCAACCAACAAGAATTCGACAATGTTCTTCAAAAACAACCTTAACATGTAAACAACTCCAAATCGTTGAATTGAAACAAGTTGATGTGTGGGTGAACTACCCAACACGAAAAAATCTCACTTACCTTAATAGGGATCACCCCTGACGAATTCCACTCCAAACGCTTGACGTTCTTGGCGAAATCTTGGCTTTTCTCTCTTTCTTTCTTCCTTTCTCTTTTCTCCAAGCCCTAAGCATAAATTAACTTTTCTAATCTGACCAAAATAAGTTTTTACCCCAATAAATCCCTAAAAACGAATTAGGAATTAAATTAGAGAAAATACTACTTTGCCCTTCCCTAAATCCGGATTGGGACTTTCGTCAATCCAACAACCCAACTTCCGAAAGGCATATCTCACTTATATGATGTTGAAATCACGCAAACTTGGCGGCGTTGGAAAGATATCTCCAAGGGCTTTCCAACCATATCAAGATCTGCTCCTAAATAATCCTGAGCTAGGAGTTATGACCGTTTGAAAATGGCCAAAACTCACTTTCTTAACTTATACAAAATTTCCAGATTTTTCTTATTCTTTCCAAAAATCAAAATTTTCATATTTTAAACTCTTTATTGTCGTTTCTAGGTGCGAGATGTTACAAACACAACAACATACTCATTGATACTTTACTCTCAAATCATCCTTAGAACATTTACATAGATTTCATCATAAATTCAAGTGATCCCATCACTTCATGCTTATTTTCATAAAACTCTTCTTTCATAATCAAAAACCCACATCATATGAACATAATTTGGAAAATATGGGGATTTCATGGGTTCATAGGGGAAACATCATAAATTCATAGTATTTCATCAATTCATGCATAAAAGATCATAATCCAATCATTTAAATCAATAATCATGAGAATCCATGGGAATTGAAGAAAACTCTATCTCAATTGGGGATTTCTAACTTTGAAAATAGAAGAATTTGAGAGCTCCATGAATGGAAGGAATTCATGGATGAAAACTATCATACCTTACTATCAAAGCCCAAAGCACTTTAGGAATGGAAGCTTGATCTTGAACCCTAGCTTGAATCTTCTTCTTCAAGCTTTTAGAGAGAGAAATATCCTTGGAGAGAATCTTTTGGTGATTTTAAGAGAATGAGGTGAATGGTTAGAATTTGGGGTCAAAATTACTTATTATGGGTCTTAGACATATGCAAAAAGACGTAGTATAGAGATAAAATAATTAGGAAAAGACTCCACTGCCCCTAAAATAACTGTTGGCCCACGACCCACTGACCTTGATCGATGGACCGTGGTCTGATCGACGGCCCATCATGTCGGTCTGTCGTTTGATTCAGAAAGTCGGAACTGGGGTCACGAACTACGGACCCTTAACCACAGACCATGGTTTGACGAACGGTCAGTTGGTCAGGCCGTGGTTCCATGACCCTTGACAGCTTTTTGAGTGGCCTATCCACGGACCCTCCTACGCTTCGTGGTTGGCCCTCGTGGATGGCCCCTTGAAGCTCTAAACATGCTATTGTGCTCTCTCTCAAATCTAAGGTGTTACATTTTCTCCCCTTTAGGAACATTCGTCCTCAAATGGAACTCATGCTAGCACGAAAGAGTAAGAGAGAAACTAACAGCCCAATCATCAATGCAACTTCATCAAAATGCACTTAACCATGAAGGAACCTCGACTCCAAGCTAAAACATACTTTAAACATCGAAAGGAAGATATAAACTAGACCTAGCAGCCCAACATAAATGCACATATTCGAGGAGGAAACATCAACTCCAAGCTAATGCATACTCACATGTTCATATCATGAAGTTCATATGCAACTCATACTCAAATGCATATAAATGTGTTGAAATCAATCAAGTTGACTCATTTTTCTCAAAACTTACTTTTTCATGAACATGCATAATAAGGAAATCATGGAAATAGCTAAAACATATGACACCAAAAGAGTAAACCATGAGGAACTCAATACTTCAAGCTAGAATAGGAGTAGAAGGAAAAGAGATAGGGATACTATGAAGTCACATCGCCTCCAAACTTTCACCCACCAAACCATAACAAGGAACTCTCCCAAAACCTACATAGTTCTACTTCACATATCAACCATGAAGCACACTATCTCTCCCTTGGGAGCAACCCTACTAGTCCTTTCAAATCCATCTCCCTCAATCTAAACATAACATTAACGTCTTAACAACCACTAAACCATTGATAAAAGTAAACGCTTAAGAAGTTTCCACAAGGATTTTCTAGGACTACTTTAACCACAATCACCATACATGGAATCTTACCATATCCAATGAAACACTCAATATCAAGCAATGCATAACCTAAAGCTAAAAGACCTTAACTTACCAATTACCGCATCCGGGGAATCCTCATGATCTTGTCGAGTTTGATCTTGCCTACCATCCTTTTCCTTAGAACTAAGAATTGGGCAATCTTTTTTCTTATGACCACTTCTTCCACACCCAAAGCAAACATTATAACCGGCTAGACATTTACCCTCATGTCTTCTCCCACATTCCCTACACCCGGTCCACATTTGCTCACTACCAACCTTGCCTTACTTGTAATAAGAGTTTGCTCATTTGAAACAGACACAGTCTCATAATATCGTACAGTAGGTAATGTGGTGGTGCTGGAGCTGGTCTTCATATTTGCCTTTTATTTTGATATGATTTTGTTATTGATATTCAATCCTTTTTTCCCGCTTAGAAGCCCCAATAATTTGAAGCTACATTTTTTGTTTTATTGTTTCACCTTTTTTTGTGGTTTTACCATAGAGTTTCTTCCACTCATTGCACTGACATTTTGAAAGTATTCTCATTTGTAGCGTGAAGTTAAGGATCTTCGACTACTTCTACCAGAATTTCAGCTACAGGTATTTCCGGTCATTTATTCAGATTCCCTTTAAATCGTGCATTAGTTTTCTCTATCTTTGTTATGTTTTATTGCTATTTTGAAGTGTTACCGCGAATATGTTTTACTATATGCATTGAATAAGGAATAAAGAAATGAAACATAAAAAGTACAGACCCTCAGCTATAGTGGCATCAGTTTCTCTGGTCTTAGATATGTCTGTTGAATATGTTGTAGTGCCAAAGGTTAAAATCTTGAAACAAAATGTCATTTCTACTCGTGTCTGGTGTCTTATCCTTAGCGAACTCTCTGAAGCTGGAAGTACTATCTTTGGTTTCATTTTAGCTTATCCTAATCATCTGAATAAAATGTGAAATTCATCCTAAACTATTATGTTAAGATGTATGAGTCCACTATCAGTCAATGGACCAGGTCCCTTGACACAACAATAACAGTAATAAACAGCACAAGCAATAAAGTAAACAACCCAAGCAGTTTATGTGGAAACCCCCTTGCTCAAGGGCGGTGAAAACCACGACCTGTACTCACAGGATTTCAACCCAACTCCATTTAACTCTAAACGGAGCAATGATTCAGATTATAGACTCTTGTAATCTAGGAATTTAACTATAAATCTCTTCCCCCTTAGTGTAGCAACTCTACTACAAAGAAAGAACTCAATAACTCTATTGCCCACTAAACTACCTAACTCTAGATGATTTAGACTTCAACTAAGCAACAACTATGTTGCCCACTAAACCAATTAACTCTAACTGATTTAGGCTTTTTGAATGAACGACAACAATGATCTAATTCCTTTATAACACAGGAGTAGATTTACAATGATAAGCACTGAAGTATAAACCCTAAGACAACTAAGATGCAGAACAACTCTATCGGGTCCCTGTTGCTCTTTTGGAAAATACTTCACGCAAGGTTTGTTTTTGCTTGTGTTCTTGAATCTTTCAGGAATGCAAAAAAACTGAGGTTGTCTTTGTTGAGGAGAACCTTATAAATAATAGACACAACCTTAGAAACCATGCTATTGGCCAAGGATTCAGCCATGCCGTTCGGGAGCCGTGCACCAACTCCTGCAGACCTAGAGCCTAGAGGTTGTAGTGTACTTTTTCCAGTTGTCCCCTTTCTCGCATATGAACACCATAGGATCAGGTCCCTTATAAGATCCCTTTTGTTTGTCAAATCATCAAAACTAAAAAGTAACATTTTCCCCCTTTTTGATGATGTCAAACATGCAATCAATTTCCCCCTATCACCAGCACTAGCCAGAAATTACCTTCTGCATAACCAATATATTAGATGAAGATGAAAAAATAAAAAACAGTAACCTCAACTAGAGTGTCATGATTGTGCAATCAGCACGACTTTAACCTCCAACACTTGTGGTTCTGTCATATTGGGTTCCAGCAGAGTGTCGTAATTCTGCAGTCAGCTTCTCTTCAACCTTCCAGCTCTTGTGGGTGAGTCATATCTTCAACTGTTTTAGGCATATCTGGCAATGGGGTACAAATCTTCGACAAAGGCTGCAATCATTTTGGAAGTCTAATCTATAGTGGCAATAGTTCTTGGGAATTCTTGGTGGACGTCAAGGATGGACTCAAAACTTTTAAGATCAATAACAACACTATTCATAGTTTTTTGGATGAACAATTTTGTTTAGAGAAAACAGGAAAATAGGATCTCAAGCTTCCATAAATTCACATGGCTACACACTCATATGACGTGTTTAAGGTGAACTATTACATATGCTATTTGGTAGATACAAATTATATAAAATACTAAATCCAGGTTCATTACAAAGCGCTGTCAATTGTCAAATCTCCGCATAATTCAATAAACCAACTAGATGTTGCGTGAAACAGAACTTGACACCTGCTGTAGGAGCTGTATCAGCGGCCAGAAGATATCCAGTCTTGAAATCTTGATTTGAGTTTGCAAATTTGAAGCCCCTAACGCGCTGCATTTTTAACTCCAACCACTGAAGAGCCCTATTAATACTAAGCTCAGTCAACAAAAACTGCTTCAAAGTGAAAAATTCAGTTATCTTTTCAGTACATCATTCCTTATAGAACATATTCACTCTATTATATTCTCCTGCATCCTTTAAAACTTTAACAACTATAGTAAGTTGTAGTTGAATATCTGATGTTAGCCTAAGCAATTCTTTACCCTGCACTTCTGTTATTTCTTCTCATATCCTTTTCCTGCATTTGGAATTTCTTGAGTGATGGTTGCTCATATGATTTTTCTTTGTGGTTTCTACTTATCTTTTTCTCCTGCCTTTGAAATTTCTTGGATTATTGTTGCAACGTCTAACGTTATTGTTGGTTTTGGTTATATGTTGATTTTACTTTTTTATGGCTGTCCAAATTTTTGTCACAATCCAACTTTGTTGATTTGTTAATTTCACTGCAATGCTGAAGATGAGGTTTGTTTGAAATAGTTTTTTTAGCTGAGTTGTAGCTTAAGTTTTTTTAAATGATTTGGGGAAATTCGTGTGGTGAATAATTTTGAATAGCTTAGTAAGTATATACACATAAAGGATTGAAATTTTAAGTTTTAATTTTCTGTTTCTCTCTGCCTCTTATATAAAGTGAACACAAATCTAAGGGAATTTCTGAACATCTTTAACAATGATCAGAGCAATGAGATTGCTACAAAGTTGGGGTGGTGTCTGGACCAGCATCGCTAGTTTCATATTCATGTGGGATAGGATCCGTCGATACTGTCCCCCTGAGCTTATCCGAGCTTCTGATAAGTGGACACAAAGAATCAGGAGCTTTTTGTACCCTTATATTCAGATTTCCATCAGTGAATTCATGAGCAACAATCTCAGGCCTCATGATGCCTATTCAGCAGTCGAGGCGTATCTCAGTGTCCACTTAGCAAAAGAAGCAAAGAGGCTTAGAGCTGAAACGGTAAATGGTGGGAGCAAGTTGGTGCTAAGCATGGATGAACATGAGAGAGTTACTGATGAGTTTTGCGGAGCAAAAATACAGTGGATTTCAGGCAAACTTGTGCAACGGGAAAGTAAGTACTTGCTAGAACTGGAAAGAAAATATTACAAGCTTATGTTCCACAAGAAATATCGTGACATGGTAACCGATATTTACTTGGAGCAAGTGATCAAGGTAGGGAGAGAGATTCAGATGAGAAACAGGAAGAGAAAGCTCTACACTAATAATGGACACAGCAAGACCACATGGAGCCATATCGTATTTGAGCATCCTGCAACATTTGGTAGTCTGGCAATGGAAGCAGAGAAGAAGCAAGAGATTATGGATGATCTCCTCTTGTTTAGAGATAGCAAGGATTTCTATGCAAGGATTGGCAAGGCGTGGAAGCGTGGTTATCTACTATATGGTCCCCCGGGTACTGGGAAGTCTACTATGATTGCTGCAATGGCAAATTTATTGGATTATGACGTGTATGATCTTGAACTGACATCTGTGAGGGACAACATAGAATTGAGAAGGCTCTTAGCTGAAACATTAAGTAAGTCTATTATAGTGATAGAAGACATTGACTGTTCACTTGATCTAACAGGTCAAAGGAAGAAGAAAGAGAAGACTGCAAAGACCAACAAAGAAGTTCCTCGAAAGGACACACAAGAGAGTGGAAGTAGAATCACTCTCTCTGGGCTTCTGAACTTCATTGACGGTCTTTGGTCTGCATGCAGTGGAGAGCGTATAATTGTCTTTACTACAAATTATGTGGATAAGTTGGATCCAGCTCTTACAAGAAGGGGAAGAATGGATAAGCACATCGAGCTCTCCTACTGTAGCTTTGATGGATTCAAGGTGCTTGCAAAGAATTACCTGAGCTTGGACACACATCCCCTATTTGAATCAATTGAAATTCTAATGACGGAGACCAAGATTATACCTGCTGATGTTGCAGAGAACCTGATGCCCAACTCCCTGAGAGAAGACGCAGAGAAATGCCTTCTGAAGCTGGTTGAAGCTCTCAAACAGGCAAAACAACTGATGATAAAGAAAGACGAGGAATCCGCACTGTCTGAAGCTGCAGATGGGTTGCAGGATTCTATAGACAAAATTTAAATGGTTATTTTTCACAATTAATTGTATGACACAAACAGAAAGAGTCATCTGAGACCATTTGTGTTTTATAGTTGATCATCAAACTATTTATCTAAAACTAGATGCTATTTTCATGTGACAGCTAGACCACAAAATCTAATCAATTACCTATCCTTGAAAAACAATAAGATAGCAAGCCTGGCCTTGCATAATAAAACTATTTTACCTTCTGTTAAAAGTTGGGTACATTACTAACAGTTGACTGCAATCTCTAAATCCAGCAATAGATCCTTAGCATTGAACCATTGGTAAAGTATCCAGTTACAGATCTTTTTTTTTGCCTTTGGCAGCACTAACTTATGTAACCTAATTCTGCCCCGCAATATGAAATGAGAAAGCTTGCATGCAACTTGTCTAATTACATGGCGTACCTACTACCTCCCACCATCACGAATCCATAACCTGATAGTAATGAGTCAAGGAACCTTGAAAGTACTGAAATTCATATCGCATTATGCTTTCACAACATGTATGTGCAAATTACAAGAGGAATTTATATTCGTCAGTTAAAAGTTAGAATAGAACAGGCAGAATAAAAGCAAAATAGACTATGATAATAATTTATTAGAAACATCCTGGTACTCATCCAATGCAAATTAGTTGCAACGGTTACCTATTGGTAATATGAGTTAGGCATCAGTCACTTGGAATTAAGCTAGCAGTGACACTGACCACAAGAAAACAAATGATCCTATAACCCTCAAACCCCCAAATACTTTCTTAGTATACTACAAGAATATGGGTGTTTTGTGGCAACTAAAGTTACTACAGAAAACCAAAAAATATTTTCATATGCTTCAAATTATTCACATCTATTTTGAAATGAAAAGATCACTTGGTTTACTATGTATAAGAAAGTAATCAACTCTAATAGATTCTTCAAGAGATTTTGTGATCTCATCATCAACATTCCCATCAATTATTTCTTTATATAAAAAAAATTGCATGTTTCTTACGAAATTCAAGCTCGTCTCTGATCCAATTTCTTCGGCTGAAATCACAACACTTGTAAATCCTTTTTCTCTATATCTTTTAAAAAATTAAACTAGGCCTCTTAATTGACAGAGCCGTCTCGACCATAAGGCCACTAAAACAATCGTTTGGAGCCTCAACTTTTCCAAGGAACGAATTAGGCCAAGAGGTTTCAACAAGTTTTCCAAGGAACGAATTAGGCTCAAATAATGACAAAATGGGTGCACACCGTCACAAGGTAGTCATAATGTAGGTACGATAATTGGGTTCACTCTCAAAACTTGTGCCTAAGGTTATTTCTTGCATTCACCAAAGTTAAACAATTAGACCAAAAAGGCAAATTCAGGAATCCACACACGTCTTTCAAGTAAACCTCACCACTCAAGGCACTTAAAACACAATCATTGGACATAAAGCTTGTGTGCAAATGGTCATTGCCAGTCTCACAATTTGATATGCAACTAGTCACAACGAGATGCTAGAAGTTCATGAAAGAATCATGCAATTTGAGTTGACTTATAGAATCCACACAAACACACTTCTCATCAAAAAGACATCAATATTGATTACGATCGATACCTGAATATTCACATTAAGTGTTCAAGCTTTTCAATCATCCAATCACAACGATTTCAGGGTAGTAGATTGAGGAGAATCAAACATCACCAAGTTCCTCCCCATCATAGTTGAGTAAAACAACCCCTAACGATTCACCACTAAATCCCAACTTGACACACTAGTCACCGCTTCATCGATCACATCTACATAAGACACCACATGCATGTCATTGGATGTTTCATGAACTTGCATTTATTGAAAGTAACTTCCTCATTGTTCACCCAGAACTTTAATTCGTCGCTTTCAACTTTAACGATTGCTTTCCCGGTAGCCAACAAGAATGGCCTATCAAGAATAATAGGAATCTCCGCATCGATCTCACAATCAAAGCCCACAAAATCGGTGGGAAAGATAAATTTCTCTATCTTCACTAAGATTCCATGAAGACCGATGCTAATTTAGACTTAATGGCAATTTTAAGGCTAATTTAACTCTCCTCATTAAGGCTTCATTGGTTTTTATTAAGATCAAAATCTAAATAATTAAGATTATTTGATTTATTTATAAACATAAAAATATATAATTCAATATTTTAATAAAGAAAACAATAAAATTATTATTTGCTTATTGTTTAATAATTCTATTATGTATTTTATTATCATACTTATACTTCGGTTTGGTAGTTTGTATTAGGGGTGTACAAAATCGAATCGAAAATCGAACCAAACCGTAAATCGAGTCAAATTGGAAAAAAAAACCCAACTAGTGGTTTGGTTTGACTTGGTTTGGTATTGGAAAAAAAACCCAACTATAGTTGGATTGGTTTGGTTTTAACTAAAAAAAACCAACCCAAGACCAAACCAACCCGACATTATATATGTAATTTTAAAATTTTATTTTATA